TGGAATGAAAGCAACTTGACTTTCTTAATCACTGGGTTATACAAAAACTAGCACATACCCCAGAATAAATGAAAAAAAAAATTACTAAATTGCTTACGTACCTCAAAATAGCAGTAATTTAAGGCTGCAATTTAGCATTAAGCCAATTGTCATAATTTTAGGCTTAGCTCAACATGCAGTAACAAAACCGAAAATTGTCCAATCCTAGCAAATCTAATTAAAATACATAAAATAACTATTGAAAAGTTTAATAATACAACACTTAAAAAATGTTCAACATCTTAAGGCATCTCATGCACATAAAACTTACTAATATAAGTAAAATAGTTACAAATTTGCACATTTTAAGAATGTTTCTAGCTCAATCAGTTAAGAGGAAATATCATAGGTTTAATAAATTTTCACCCTTCAATAACAGATTAAAAATGCATTTAATGATACAAAATAAATATTTAAAAATGAAATTGTCTCCAGTCTCCACATACATTAAAAAATTTACTGTTTCAAGATAAAATACCATGAGAATGGGAACAGTCACATTTTAAAATATTTATTTTGTACTATTACATGTTGGTTTTTTAAATAAATATATGTCACCTTAAATTTAACTAGTGCCTGCAACACAAAATCTCAAATTAGTACACTTACAGATTCTGACTAAGCCGATGATGATTGTAAGCTTGATGAAAAGCTGTCAGCTCTTCAATAAGCCCTCTATCCATCATTTCATCAATCCTCTTCTCAAGTCTATTGTTTAGTACTTTAAAAAAAATATATATATGAAAAACATGATGAATTATGTATAACAGTTTTCATTTCATTCTAGAAGTATGACGATTGAATATAAATACTTAATCATCTACTTACTATTGCAGATATGATTAAGATAAATTAACACGTGCAAGTACTTAAATGAATATACAGATATAGAGTAGTGATAATAGATAATAGAAAGAAGTTCTGGAAGTTATTAGTCAGCTATTGTAGTATTGGTTCCTGTCATACAATATTAAAATACTTACAACAAAATCATAGTTTTATGAATACTAAATAAGTCATTAGCAAGTCACTAACTAGAATGTGGGAATTAACTACATCTACGTTTGGATTTTGTACGACCATGATGAAAGATTATTTCCATTATGGGTTCACAAGTTTCAAGTAAGTAATGAAATATTAAAACACACGTCTTTTTAATGTTTATTATACATCTATAAATAAACTGACCACAGGAGAGTTACCTATAAATTGGCAGGGAAGGAGTTAAAAACTGTCTTCTTCTTCATTTGACTGTAAAACCTATCTAATTTTGGGGTCAGCTGCTTTGTTATTTTGTATTAGCCAAGAACTTTTGCACTTAAGTGGCTGGCTCTGACAGCAACCCTGAAGGGGAACATGTTTGATGACAAGAATTTGAGCAAGTGACCTGCAAGTTGTGAGGCCATGCCAAGGCTCACTTCATTACGCATGTCTTTCAGACACAGAATAAAATGTTTAAAAATTTATCGTTATAACAATGCTATTTATCTAACCATATGCACTAAAACCAGTAGATAATAGATTAAACACCATGTACCTGGGAAGTGTGTGTGTGTGTGTGTGTGTGTGTTGTTTTTGGTGCAAAACTACACAATGGGCAGTCAGCACTATGTCTACCACAGGGAATCGAACCCCAGATTTTAGTGTTGTAAGTTTGTAAATGTACCAATGACACACCATGGGACTACCTGGGAAGAAGTACCTTGATGTAAGATTCAGATAGCCAGCTTCCAATGACACACCAAGGGACTACCTGGGAAGAAGTACCTTGATATGTAAAGATTCAGATAGCCAGCTTCCAATGACAAACCAAGGGACTACCTGGGAAGAAGTACCTTGATATGTAAAGATTCAGATAGCCAGCTTCCAATGTCAAACCAAGGGACTACCTGGGAAGAAGTACCTTGATATGTAAAGATTCAGTTATTTACAAAAATATGAATATGTTAAAGTTAACTACTGGTGCTAAGCAGCTAATTAGGATTAACAGATAACATTTGTTTTACAATTTAAAAACTTTTATTAATACACAGTGATTACAACAGAGACTTTAATCTGACTCCTAATGTATAGTTGACATACCACAATATTCCATTGATTTCCTATTTTTTGTCACTATATATATATATATATCTATGTAATTACGAGAACGATGTGTGTCAATCGGTCCACACATGCTACCTCACCTTGAAACCCAATATCCCTATTGTATAATTTTACACTTATTAGAGTGAAAAAGTGAACAATGTTAAAGTTATCATGTTCTATATGAGTGCAAATCTATGTTTATAACATTAATCTTAAAGACAATTACTTCAGTATCATAAACACAGAAGGAAACACTTTAAGTTAATTCTTTACCTTTCTGTGGTTTATAAATAACACAATACCATTATAGCTCAATACAAATACTAACAGGGGCCGAAAAATCAACAATTAGACCTAAAGTGTAAAGCACAATCTTACCCACTACATAATTTATGGTAATTAGCCTTAATAGTCACTGGCACAACTTCATTAATTTTCGATACTCTACAGCTAATACATTGCAAAAAGAAAATAATTACGGATTTCAGATGATATACATATACAATATATGCACTTCTTGATATTATAATTTTAAACATTCACTATTTTATAACTATTACATGTTTCCAACTATTCTAATACAGGTGCCTAAAAATCAACAAGTTCATCAACTAGGGGAATAAAATATTACACCATTTCCTTTATCGGAGACTCAACATTTTGTTAATATTTTAAAGGAAAGTAAAAAAGAATTAATACCATTACGGAAGAAAAAAATAGGTGAAATAACAACTCCCACTTCTTGATACAATTATATAATGTAGCTTCATCAAGTGTTCAATCAAGAAAATATCTCAAGATCTTAGTCAAAAATGGTGATTATCCAGAAAAACAAGGTGTTTATACAAAAAAAATGTTGTGTACAAAGATATATATTTTGTATATAGTGATTCCATGCTTTTACTCCTACTTACTTTAAATACAACAACTCCATATTCTACTTAGTAGGTTTTTGTATCGTTCATGTCCAACTACATAATACAACAACAGCATTATTTAAAGGATTTATCTATTTAACATATTGTTGCGTCAGCAAGGTCACGTGACTAGTATCACGCCACTTCTTTCTCGAACCTTTGTGAATTGTCGGGAGATTACTAGATTGGGGGTAGTCTGGTATATATAAGATGGTCACAACGTGACAGGACAATGTGTAGGTAATGAGTAATTGAATGTATGTGGACAAAATATTGTTGGCCACGTGAGATATAGCGTTTGTTATAGCGCGACTGTTGAAATTAAGTGTATCGTAAACTTGTATTCGAAAAGAATAAACCAGTTTTATTAAGTAAAGACTTGTGTCGCTAAAGTTTCGTCGGAACGAAGTTACGGAAAATCAACTAACGACTGGAGGCGTAACAATATACCCTTCTCGTATATGATGTATTCCACTTAATAACACTGCACATGTTTTGTATGTGAGAGGTTGAGGATTTAACCTCTTCTATACCCTTTTTATTTTTATTATTCTAAACCAATGTTTCGGTAGTCTAGTAATTTTAGAACATACATTGTATGCAAAGCACGAGTTTATTCTCTTGTCAGATATAATTTACCTCAGTTTTATTAATCAAAATAATGCCTTGTACGACACATGGATTAAACATCTACGTCAAGACCCCCTAGATTCAGGCATAACCATTCCTGATTAACATCTGCTAAATATGCAGCCTACTCTTCACCACATAGCAGTATTGACTGTCACAGTTATAGCTCCACACATCATGGTACTTGGACTTGGTGTACATAGTTCTTACAAAATGTCTTATTTGATTGTACTCCATCTGATGAGAATTATGGTCTGCAATTTGTTCGCAGTTATCGTATGACAATTATGGTTGTGGTTTTGGTTCCTTCCAATAACGCTAAAACCAGATTGAGATCCACTGACAGCGATGTCTAAGGAGATGACTGAGATTTTCAAACAAATTTTGAATATGTTGGATTGTTGCATTTATCATTTTGTTATGCACTTGTCTTGATGGGAAAAGGATTGCAGCATTTGACCAACAGCAATGTTCACTTGAATCCCAGATGATATCCATCCTTCCAAATGAATCAAAATCCTCTTACGTGAACTTCCCTTCACCATTACCCCCCTCCCCACCTTCAGCAGCTTGAGCTTTTGGAACAAGCCAAACAAATCAGGTGTTTGATTTACACCATATTTTAAATTATACTGTCCATACATAAGTTGAAATGCTATACAATGCATGCTTTTTATCACTTATCAGTTTGTGTTTGAGATAATCAAATTGAATACTAATTTACCATTAGAGATAGTGTTAAGTATTTTGTCTTCCCCTTGATGAAATAAGAAATGTTGGACCTACACATGATTATATTTCAAAAGAAACTTTATAGTTTGATAAATCTTAAAACTGCAACATAAACATTATTTCCTACAGTTCTATAAAGCTATTAGAGTTAAAGTACACATATTTGTAATGATGTAGGATAAGAACATTTCTGTACAAATACTTTGTTACATTCTGGTTGATGGTTATACAAGTTGTGTATGTTTTGATTAATTATAACTAGTATGCCGAATATCAGTGACAGTTATTTGTGTTTTTGGTTATTTATAACTTGAATGCCGAACGTCAATAACAGTTACTTGTGTTTTTGAGAGGTAAGAGAAAAAGGAGAAAATAAAGAGGTTTACCCTGTTGGTCACACTGCAACCAAAAAATACATGTGTGGGAAAAGCGAAGCGGTCCTCCTAGAGAATTACCTCCTTCTAGAGAATGTTGTTCTTCTAACACTTGGCTATGTGGTCGCCCTTGTTGTTGGTAAACTTGAAGACTTCTGTAAGACCACAAGATCTCAGAACAAAGTTATTTTCAAATCGATTATCCATACACATTTTTGAAAGTCTAGTACAAAGTGTCACTAGCACATAAGAAATACAGTCTTTTTACATATACTAGAAGTTTATCTGATAAAGAAGAGTAGAAGGATTAGCAGGGAAATCCTCCGGTAAACAAGATGAACATGATAATCCACCAGATTAGATACAATATAAATCCCAATACCTAATTTGATTGAACATAATTATCTAAATTAAAATCATATAAATCACCACTTACCTAGTCTGATTGAATAAGATTATCTTAAATAAAGAACATGCAGAATGAAAGCTACAACCAATCTAATTTGACTTAACATGATTATTCAATACGTCAGATTATACATAATAAAATTAACCTGATGACTTTCCTCCTATCATGTGGATGAAGCCTTGTAGCCATACAAGAATCAACCACAGTAAGTAGCTGATGAAGATTCTCGTTTGATATCTTTGATAATCTGCTTGCTGTTAATGGCTTTGGTAGAATTCCCGAGAAGTCTGTGATTGATGGTGCTACCTTGCTTTGTTCAATAAGTTCATCTAGCTGGTCGTCAGAGGAGCTTTCTGTTCTGCTCTCATCAGCAGTACTGTTTAGCTCTGAATACTCTGTCATGCAACTTTCTTCAGTATGTACTTCTGTTCCTTGTCCTTCGTGTTTGTTTGTTTTGATATCTGATTCTTCAATACCTTTTTCTCTATCAAATACTAAGACGTCACTGGAAGAGTCCTATAATATAACCACATCTTTTCATTGTTCATTACAAGAAAAAATTCAGCTAAAAACAGAACACATACACTAAACTACCTGTCAAAATTTACAGGAAACAGAAGCTACGTAAAAGCTTTTATGTATCTTATTCTTAATGGCTATTTACATTCTTTTTTTCAATTTTCAAGTAACTCCCTTTGATTCCATATTTACATATATACTTATTTTGAACAATCCTTTCATTTCCATGTAAATATGTGAATTGTGTCTCAAGAGTCCCCAAAATGCTTTTGACCCTATATGGTGGGTTAAAATTTGAAAACTTCCAAAATCTGACTTTAGACTGCTTTGAATGGCTCATTACATTTTAATAACAGCCTACATGCAAAGATATTCAAAAGTCAAGTAAATGCAAATCTATACCATGGAGAGTCACTATACAGATATCAAGCAAGTCACACAGAAAGAGACTAAATAAATTAAACATACATCCTTATATGCGTGTATATATATATGTAACAATACAGATATCAACTAAGTCAGACAGAAACAGACCAAATAAATTAAACATATATTTTTGTATTACCGATATAAACAATGAAAATATTTATTGAAAAGCAATAGCAGTAGGTAATAGTTAATAATTGTCGACAGAGCTTTCCAAAAAATGAATGACAAACATCTACAAATTAACTCCATTAAAACGTCTCAAAACAAGTTCATTAATGAACCATTTTTGTCCTGGGATTTCAGAAAACATTTAAAGGTTAAAAATTAGCATTCATCCCACAAAACAAAATTGTCAACCATTTACATACACTCAAAGATCCTAAAAATATGGATGATAAAGATAGGATTTACTAAAGCAGTATGGTAAAATGTACATAGGAAAATAAAATAAAACAAGATTGAAAAACATGACAACACTATGTCCTCTACTGTAGCTGAATATTTCTGAAACTATGATGGTAACTATGACTGGAAAAATGTATAAACTAACATAGAAAGGAACTTCAGAGACAGTATTTGTATAATTAAAAATAGGTGCGTGTGTTTAAGTAGAGATGACGGACCAATCAACATGTCCCACTGAAATACAGACGATGGACTAATCAACCCGTCGCACTGTAAAACAGATGACGTACCAATCAAATTGTTCCACTGGAATATTTATTTAAATATTCCTTCATTTATGATTTACTTTTCACGCCTTGTTTTTGAAAATGAGCTAACACTATAAATATTAGCCCTGATGATGGTAACTGTGTTACCAAAACTAATCAGCTGTAAGTAATAATAATTTTTTTTTTCTAATTTTGTCAAAAGATGTTTTTTACTCTTAATATAGTAGCACAAAGTGTCTGAAAAGGAATTATATATATCCTTAGTTTGAAAATTCAAAATATTGTATGTTATCTGAGGACCACTGACTTTTGCTCTAGGTAGGCTTGCATAACACATAGTTCAATAATATACTTTGATATATGCACTATTGAAGATTGATCCTTGACATATGGAAGTACCTGAATGTAAGACAATACATTGTGTGACTATATAGAAGTAGCTTTCAGATGTAACATATTTTTTTTATTTTATGAGATGTTGTTACATACTGCATTTATGAAAGCAGAAAACACTACTTAGTGACTTATCAGATGTATTGTGAATGTCACAGGACTATGTATTTTACAGTATATGGGGCAAGAGAATCGTTTCACTGAGCTGTACCATCAGGAAACACATCACGCTAGAGTTTTATTATTATTTATCAATTTACCAAGTACATCTCACACACTGAACAAATTTAACATATAAAGTAGCAGCATGTTTGATAGAAATGTTACTGTTAAAAACTTGTTGCCTTGGTAACATGGATCAAGAATGTGAAAAATCTGCCGATGAGAGATTTAAAACAATTCCATAACTTTTCAGGAGAGATCTATCTAGAGAATTTTTTCCTCCAAGTAATCAATATATCAAACATTTAGCTAACTACTTAGAATGTTTCCAGCCAATCAAACATCTTTATTTTTCTGATATTATGAAATTGATTACTTCCAGAATATAACAATATTTCAATAATTTTAATATATTCTATAAAATTTTAAAAGATGCAGAAATAAACAATTACATGAGAACAAAAAAGTGTAAACAAACCTCAGGTTTTATAAGCACCTCCCACAGAAGGGATTCAATGTAGTAATTGGTACCTCCGACAATAACAGGCATTTTACCTTTTTCCAACAAATTATTAATCTGTAATTAGCTTGTTAATGAAAGCATCATTAAAGATCTCTTAATAAGTATACATGGATGACCGGACAATTCTAGACATTATGTGGAAATGGGTTACATCATTATACATCCACATAGTGCGTGACTTAGAAGTCCACTGACAGGCAAATATTTCAGAAATGGGGGAGTATACGAAAATGTCAACCACATGTCAATATCATTGAGGTCATGCCTTTCAAATGTGCATCATACATAAAAATGCCAATTACTAAGATGTAGACAAGAACAAAGAGAACATTTTAAACTACAAATTACCAAAATCACTTCACATGACCTCACTGTTAACCTTGAATAACCTCAATGGTCCACAGTGTCTCATTCCACACCACTCACAACTATTTTCCATACCTCTCCATTACTGAATCACTTGCCCATACATGAACCTCTAAATCAACATTTTCTTACATCTATTCACATCCAGATTTGCACGAGATCATTTTCTAAAGTCTAAGCCTCAACAAAGTTATCGTTTAACTTTTCCATTTTTCAAACTCATGAAATATTACAAAAATTCTTGCCTTCCAAACATCAAGAGGTTTCTGTTTGTAATGATTTACATGTGTTTCATCATGCAAAACAATTGAACTAACATGCTCAGTATAAGGAAATAAAAATTTGATAATTAACATATCTGTTATGAATACCTATATAAAGGCTAAAGTATAAATATGTATTTTATTAATGATTAAAAATATTCAGTAATTAAAATAACACATCTGTTATGAGTTACTTCTGAGAAACCAAAACATTACAATTGCTGGAAGCAACTAAAGATATTAAGTACTGGTAACCATGTTGTTTAAAACACTACTAGTGCAGAATGCTGCAAACAAAATAAATTTACCAATACATCTATAAAAGTCCTTTTAAATCTATATAATTAAACGAGTAATATGTATGTATCGAAATCTTTTCAACCTTCATTAAACTATGAAAAAATTACATTATGATCAGGAAAGTATGGACAAAACCACCATATGGATAACAGAGGGGTGAGTGTAGATAATACTATGTATTGCAAATAGAAGAGTATGTGGGAAATCGATATGTCATCCCTCAGATCCCCATCTCGGAAAGTATTATTCACGTGTGAATTTCTTCATTTGTTTATAGACACTTACAGTACTGGTACCATCAGCTTGTTGAGTGTTAATACTTTCCTCCAATACCCAGGTTTTGAAAGCGTCACTAGATCTGATGTCTCTTACTGGGCAAGTCGATCAGTTTGTTATTTTCAATCACACCATTCGACTATTTTGTACTAGAGGTGTTTGATGGATGTCACATATTGTGAAATAGATGTAACCCAGTTAGATTTAACCTCAGTCATTGAGACATTACATGTAGCCATCAGATTGGCTCAGAACTCTATGCATCTAACCTGATAAGGCCAAGCTAAAATATTTCTGTTTGCTGTAACCCGAACGGCCATCTGAAATTGGGGCCAACTAAGAGATTTTTTTTTGACATTATGACCTGGGAAATTTTTATTTTCAGCAATTTCTGCCAATATACCAACCCTTCTAACCATAATACAGCAATAAAAAGTCAGCAAATTTTCAGAATTAATTTAATCTGCTACAATGTGGGAGGGCATTACCTGATTTCCAATTGACAACTGAATGCTGATTGGCCAATGCATTGAGGTTTAATAACACTAAAGTAATAAATACACAACCTAGCAAGGGAGAAGTTACTATTGACGATCACACATCAATTATGGTGAACACAAATCTGTTTAGTGTATCCATCTCAGAAAAATGTTCTTGTGGATTGAGGATTAGGATTAAAAACAAATTAGTTGAAATTGGAAATTTACTTGGCAAATGAGATGAAATAGGTGAATAAACCATATAATTGTCGGCAACAGTCAATTCAACTTCATCAATCAAGGTCAATAATGGCCAACAAGTGTGTGTTGCAAAATAATTTGAAATTTCTGTAATTCTTTTCCTAGAATAAATGTTGATAGTAATTATATTCATGGTTTAATGTTTCATGTTTGAGGTGCTGACAGAACTAGTGGTATTTCTGAAATTTTTTTGCCAACCAACTTCAAAAAAAAAAGTTTGCCTGCCTACCTACCTACCCACACATTTCAAATCAGTTTAGGATTACAGTCAACAAAAATATTTTTAAGTTTGGCCTAAATGAGTAGACTAGGCAGATCACTTAACTGCTTTACTTACTGTCAGTATTTAAAATATGATTTTTTTGCCAATTGTCAAAATAAAAGACTTTTACTTATACTTCTTAAAAGTATAAATATATATACTATGTTGTTGTTGGGATTAGGATTCTTCTACAGTAGGTGTCGGTGACTTGTTGGTGATAAATTCAATTATGAATGAACAGCACACACTTCACTTGTTTTAAAAATAATATATATATATATATATATATATATATATATTCAGAACAAGTTAAGTGTATGTGCAACAAATTATTCACACTATAGAGATTACAGGCATGT